CGCAGTGCACTAAGGGGCCGTCCATAAATGACGTCACGCAATTTTGGACGATTTTTGACCCCCCCCCCCCCACCATTGTCACACGGTCGTCACAAAAAGTCAGACCCCCCCTCAAATATGACGTCACGAAGTTCCCCCCCCCCCCCACAAAAAAATATAACATGCTTCAAATCGCTTTAAACTATTGTTATTGTAGTGCGTATTTAATGTGGCGCTGATGACATATTTCCAATGATTGCTCAATCTGCCGCAGTTATAAATGATACATACATCGTAGCAGTGGGCAATTGACATTTTTCTTTTTAACCATTCTTGAATTCTCCGAACGACAAAAGTCCATTCGAAATGGCAATTTGGCTGCAACAATCCCCCAACCCCCGCCGGCTTTGGACACATTCCAGACACACATGATGCCCCAGGTCACGTGGAATGCGACTAAACCAAACTAACCGGTACAAGTGGCTTAAACAAGAAATGACATGCAAATTTTGCTCGTTCTGAAAGTCCCGCGATGTAATACTGACCAGTTGTGTGGGCGTGTGTAGGGGAGCGGTAGTGTATCGATTAGCGCCCTGGGCTACGTAATCCGGTGACCCGAGTTCGATTCCTGCTCACGACCAACCCCGGTGACGAATATCTGGACAGGTCCTGGGCCTCCCCTGGGTGTGGTGTGTAAACATCGTGACTAGGGAAACAAAGGCGGCCGGGCGTGGTACTAACCAGTGCCTGAGTATTCTAATAGTAAAAGTAGTAGATGCTACGTGTCCCGCACTTTCAAGGGCCCTGCGCTAAATGCTTTCAAGCTATCAACTCCGGTTGAGTGATTCCGCACTTGCTCTATTACTATAGTACTATACCGCCTTCAACTTTTATGAACGACTGAGTGTTTAAGGTTAGCGATTTGTCGTATTATCTAGCTGTATAGCAAGTGAAACAATACAATTACTTTACTATGCAAGTAAAAAAGTGTGTTTTAATATTTATGTTTTTTCTTTTATTTAGGGCCCCTTTATAACATATGCTACAGGCCCCGCACTAGCTGAATCCGGCACTGTCTATTACTATAGTACTATACTGCCTTCAGCTTTTATTAACGACTGGCTGTTTTAAGGTTAGCGATTTCTTGTATTATCTGGCTGAATAGCAAATAAAAAAATACAATTACTTTACTATGCCATTTAAAAATGTACGTATTTTAATGTTTTTTAGGGACCCTTTATAACATATGCGACAGGCCCCGCACGAGCTTAATCCTGCACTGGTGCTGGCCACCCACTCCCCCGTGTACTATGCCGGCCTTCATAGGTGCTCGCTAACAGCACTTGCCCGAACAGTCTGTGCAGGTTATAGGGGGGATCTTTGTCTTTGCTGTGACGAGCACATTCTGCTGCCACTGGAATACCAGCATTGAAAATATTATGCAGAAACGTTGGCGCTGAACGAACACAACCTAGAGGCGCATTTTGACTTCTATATTTAGCGCGGGGGGGGGGGGGGGGGTTCGCTTTGTCCCTCACATTACGAATCGCGGGTGCATATAATTAATTAATTTAACACGTAGGTTTTCGCGACCGATATCATCCATAATAGAGTTTTTTTGCGCGATCTAACCCCCCAAAAAACTCTATTAATCATAACTTCATGCTATTAATCGGCAACTACTGAAACTAAATGAAGGTGTCCTATTTGGTGGGGGTATTACCTGCCCGTGCCCGCTCCCTCTAAACTTCACCCCATGAACACAACGAATTTGATACACGTGTGTGGCAAATTCTCCCTTTGGTCCAATTTATGGCAAAAATCACACCATTGTCTCAATAACAAAAAAACGGTGGTAAAGTGCCGAGGTTTGGTAGGTTTCATTGAAATCAAACGAGAGGACTAGCACTCAAAATGTGCGAACAGATAGATCGGTATAGCTCGCCGTGCTACATGGACCATATTCGTGGCCTTTGGCTTTAGTATCGCCCTCCTACCGGCAGATAAATGCTCCACCTGCAGACCGCTGCGGTGTTCACGTCCCGTGCCACGCCGGGACGAGCTGCCTGTCATGAGGGGACGTATCCTCGGCTTCAGAGAGAGAAAAAACAACCCTGCGCTCTGAGACGTGTCGTATGATCATTCAGCATTGGCCCTGCGCTCATTGCTCTGAACTGGCAACTAGTTTCAGATTTATAATTTGTTTGGATATCACAGATTTTTTTAAGGCTCAATTTAGGATTTAATTGAATATTTTCATTGAAAAATGTAACTAAAGTGTTACGGTTTAATAACTTGAATTGTTTATAAACTAATTGGTAACCCTTCTAAGGATGAAAATGTATCATTGAAATATTCATTAAACAAACAGTTTTAAAGTCACGTAGAATGAGAATAAAATAATAAATTGATAAAATAAAATAACACAATAATATTCTCACGACGTTTCGGCCACAACACAAGCGGCCTTCATCAGGTGAAGGGGGCGAGACTGTCTGGTAGGACAGCGCTGGAGTGAGAGAGCCACGTTCAGATCACGGCTTTTAAGCTGTGTGAGAGGAACAAAGAGCCTTGACAAAGGAATTAGCATAAAATTTAGCATTGAAATGGCTGAATGATTAGCTTGTGACTGGTCACAGAAATAGCTATGTTAAAAGTTAAAGTATACACATCCGCAGAGGCACCCATTGTTAAAAGGAATTAGCATAGAATTTAGCATTGAAATAGCTAAGTTAAGGCATACACATCCGCAGAGGCACCCCTTGACAATGGGATTAGCATAGAATTTAGCATTGAAATGGCTGAGTGATTCGCTTGTAACTGCTACAGAAATAGCTACGTTGAAGTCAGAGCATACACATTCACCGAGGCACTTAGTACAAATCAAACAGGAGAATTTAGCATTGAAATAACTAGGCGAATTTAGCATTGAAATAACTGGGTGATTTGCTAGTGACTGGTCACAGAAATGACTACACATCTGAGCTATTCACAGTACTATATAGTGAACCAATAAAAACTAAAATATAAATTACCTTCATGTTATCAATAAACTCTATATTCTCCAATCAGCTAAGCTACCAACCATAAGTCGTTATATATCACAATGCTATATGGCGAAAAAATGGGTAGATTCTTACCCTCAAATTTCCGTACCACGGATAGCTACGGGCCCCGTTCAGACGGACGAGATGTGTAGTCATTTCTGTGACCAGTCACTAGCAAATCACCCAGTTATTTCAATGCTAAATTCGCCTAGTTATTTCAATGCTAAATTCTCCTGTTTGATTTGTACTAAGTGCCTCGGTGAATGTGTATGCTCTGACTTCAACGTAGCTATTTCTGTAGCAGTTACAAGCGAATCACTCAGCCATTTCAATGCTAAATTCTATGCTAATCCCATTGTCAAGGGGTGCCTCTGCGGATGTGTATGCCTTAACTTAGCTATTTCAATGCTAAATTCTATGCTAATTCCTTTTAACAATGGGTGCCTCTGCGGATGTATATGCTTTAACTTTTAACATAGCTATTTCTGTGACCAGTCACAAGCTAATCATTCAGCCATTTCAATGCTAAATTTTATGCTAATTCCTTTGTCAAGGCTCTTTGTTCCTCTCACACAGCTTAAAAGCCGTGATCTGAACGTGGCTCTCTCACTCCAGCGCTGTCCTACCAGACAGTCTCGCCCCCTTCACCTGATGAAGGCCGCTTGTGTTGTGGCCGAAACGTCGTGAGAATATTATTGTGTTATTTTATTTTATCAATTTATTATTTTATTCTCATTCTACGTGACTTTACCGAAAGAACCAAAGAAGATGAATCATTGCAGTCACGAAAGCTTTAAATCGAAATTTAAACAGTTTTAACATGTTTAAAAAATAAAATTAAGAACATGAAGATAAGTTTTACATCATGGGACCTCCTTTGCCAGTACCAAAATATGAGAATAGGTTGTCCCCTTTTTTCTGGCAACAAAACAGGTGTTAAGATATTAAAACACCAAACTAAAACCTTTTACAAGGAATCATGTCTGCATCAACCACGATACTTGTGGTCAGAATGCAAACAAAAAAACGTACTCTGATAATATATGCATTGTCTTTGAAACTGATTGGTCCACACCAGAGACAGCTTTCTTTTGAGCCTAGTCTCAAAACGGCGTTAGACCAGAGGACTAGGCTCCAAAGAAAGCTGTCTCTGGTGTGGACCAATCAGTTTCAAAGACAATGCATATATTATCAGAGTAATTTTTTTGTTTGCATTCTGACCACAAGTATCGTGGTTAATAAATACATGATTCCTTGTAAAAGGTTTTAGTTTGGTGTTTTAATATCTTAACACCTGTTTTGTTGCCAGAAAAAAAGGGAAAACCTATTCTCATTAATAGAAGTTACATATATATTTTTGGAACAATCCCACACTTTTTCTGGGGTACCCACACTTTACCCAACCACACACGACTTTCCTGCCGATCGACAATCTGTGGTTGTCCCCGATTTGCACCGCTGTGTGGACCGAGGTCCCCATTCACATCGTTTCATTTCAATGCAACCTGCCAAACCTCGGCACTTTACCACCAGTTTATTTTGGTAATGGAGACAATGGTGTGATTTTTGCCATAAATTTGAGCAAAACGAGAATTAGTCCACCCACGTGTATCAAATCCATTGTGTTCATGGGGCGGAGTTTGGAGAGAGGGGGCAATGGGGCGGGGGGTTTAAGAAATGTTGCACCACATTGTATCTTCAGCTGTCGCGCCAGGAGATCGAATCGGTGACCCCTGGATTGGAAATCTGTCAAGCATTTCCCCACCAAAACAACACAATCCGAAAGATTACAAATTAAAAAGCCATGCAGAATTAAGTTGTCAACCGGCCAAGTCACCCTGGCAAAGAGCGTCACAGCTCAATGGGCATTACTCGGAAAATAAACTTCTGATTCTGATCCTGAATTACTTGAGGCTTCTGTTATTCATTCATGTGAAACCCATGTCTCATGTACCACCTTGTTAAACCTCACAGATCTCCAGAGGAGCTTTTGGGATGGCGGGCTGGCTGGGGATGTTCATTGCCGCCGCGGTCTTGCTCTGCCTCATGCACCCGGGCCCCTGGGTACGCGGAGAGGCCTTCCACCAGTGCAGCGTCGTCGGCGACGTGGCCGATTGCTCGCGACGTGGCCTCACGGCCGTGCCGGCCAGACTACCGCCCTCCATCGCCCAGCTGGACCTGTCTCACAACCGCATTGAATCGCTGTCAGCCAACGACTTTTCTCACGTGCCGTTGCTTCGCGTCCTCAACCTGGCCTTCAACTGCATTCGCGACATACATCCCGGGGCTCTGGCGCACACCGCTCTTCTCCAGCACTTGGACCTCTATCACAATGAGCTGCTTGAGATTCCTGCGGAAGCCGTGGGCAACCTCCGCCTGCTGCAGGTCCTCAATATCTCCATGAACAACTACACGTCTTTCTCTCTGGGCGGAGCATTTGCAAATCTGCACAGCCTCAGGTCGCTTACTATCGGCACCACTCGCACGGACGTCCTCAACACGTCGGACTTCATGGCACTGCAGAACGTCAGCGTGACGCATCTGAATGTCCACACAGGCTCCCCGCTCATTAAGTTCGAACCAGGAGTGCTCGCCCCGTTTAAGATGCTCCAGAGCTTCCGAATGAACTTTACCGTCGATGATGACCCGGTCATATTTTCCAAGGTTCTCCTCGATTTAAATAAAACGAAGGTTTCCGAGTTTCAGACAGACCGAGTGCTGCTGAATCCTGTGAAAAATACGTCCATCGATTTATTTTATGGCCTTGAAAAGTGCTCTCTGCTCAGAAACTTCACACTCGTGGCTGCCAATCTCACAGACCACGAAATAACGAGCCTACTGAAAAACATCTACTTGTCTCAGATCACGTCTGTCGAGATAACAAACTCGTCGTACACGGATAAAAACGTCGTCGTATTCTTCAACGTTGAGAATGTGACCAAACTATCGCCTCTTGAGAAAGTAACAATCAATCAGATTTTTCACCTGAACATGACCTACCCAAAGTTTGCTATCAATTTCACACTTTTTCCATCCTTTTCCAAACTTAAAATATCCCACACTGGCATGAACAAAGTGGAGTGTTTTTTCATGAAACTCAAATTTATCACTTGGCTCGACTTCTCAAGCAACCTCCTCGACGAGGAAGGCCTCTGGTGGACAAACTGCAAATATACAATCATCCTTCCACGTGCCACTGAACTTTATATCAGCAATAACAAGTTCACGGATCTTCAAATCATATCCAGCATGGTGTCTCTAATGCCAAGCATTAAGTTGCTGGACGTTGGTTACAATTATATCACTGACATTGACGACTGCAGTTGGCCTCCAACTCTCGAAACACTGATCCTGCGGAACAATGACATCAGCAAAGATTCCCGCATCTGCACATCACCGCAGCTGAAGGTGCTAGATCTTTCTTACACGCGGATGGAGTCTGTGCCCTATTACATCCTCGATGATGCAAAGTCCTTGAGAGAGCTGTACCTGACGGGCAATAACATCCACTACATCCAGCCAGAAATACAGTCCTCATCCCTGCAGGTCCTGCACATTAACTACAACACACTGGGAATCATAACTAAGGGGACATTTCAACTCCTTCCGAAAATCAGGGCCCTCAAATTGGGAAACAACCTCTTTTATTGCATGTGCGACCTTTACTGGTTCCGCCAGACGTTTGATAAATCTCTCCTGGTGGATTGGCCTAAAGATTACGTCTGCAGTTATCCAGAGAATCTGGCAGAGAAGACTATGGATTGTTTCAACCCGAGCATTGTTTCCTGCGACAAAAGGATCACGATCGGGCTCAGCGTCGTAATCACGGCAATGGTCGTAGCGTTGGTTTTGGGCCTGGGTTATTACTGCGACGCCCTCTGGTACATAAAGATGGGCTGGATATGGGTGGGAGCCAAGCGGAGGGGCTACAATCGCGTAACTAGTGGGGAAGCACCCCCCTTTGAGTACAACGCGTTCATCTCCTACAGCCACATGGACTCGGACTGGGTGGAGGGAACTCTGGTGCCGAAGCTCGAGAGGTCGGGCTCGAACCTGAAGCTGTGCATGCACGAACGGGACTTCACCCCGGGGGAGTGGGTCGTGGACAATATCATTCGCTGCATCGAGGGGTCCTCCAAGACACTTTTCGTCCTCTCCACGAACTTTGTGAAGAGCGAGTGGTGCCACTACGAGCTCTACTTTGCGCAGCACCGCATGCTGGAGCAGCGCCAGGACTCGCTCGTGCTGGTCCTGCTCGAGTCGCTGCCCAAAAGCTCGTTGCCGAACAAGTTCTGCAGGCTGCGTCGGCTCCTCAACAGAAAAACCTACCTGGAGTGGCCAGCGGAGGAGAGCAAGCGGGCCATCTTCTGGGCCAGCCTGCAGGCCATACTGCAGACGACCTCCAATCCCACCAACCCCGTGACATAAAGCCACAATAGTTCTCAACTCGTTGGTCTAGTGGCCCAAAGGCCCCCAGAAAACTGGGCCCCGCTCTCCGCCCACCCCACCACCCACCATCACCTCCGTCCTATTCACAGATGTGATGTTGCCGTGTGGTTTCATCCAATTAAGTAATTATGTTGAGTCATTTGCAAATTTGGAAAATTCGGACCATGGCACCGGAACACGTGGCTTACTCTTGTTTGGTTAATGTCACAGGATTGCTTGGTTAATGTCACCAGGCGAGGTAGTTAACATCTGGCCACCATGATGACCTGTTAATACACTCACAGTAATAACTGATTACAAAACGTATCTTCAGTTGATGCTGATGTAAAAAAAACACGTGTCATTCGGAGTACAGTGTTGCATCACCGACACAACTATCTGGCTCTTGGGACACAATAGCACAAATTATGTTTAATGACAACTAAATTATATCTAATTGAAGTATGTCATTGCATTACATAATTTGAAATTGGTATCTAAGTTACATCTCAAAGCAATTGGTAATGTCATTTGAATGCATTTTTCTTGAACCTCTTTTGGTGGGCAGATATATAAGTGGGATGTATGGTTGCGGTGATATAATTTTCGGCGATATAAAATTTCATGACATAACAGTTCCCCGTAACTTTGCAATTGTATTTTTGTCTGCTTTACTGTACAGTCTGTTCTCCTATAATGCGGTAGCAGTTTTTGCGTTCCTGAAGAACACCGGGTTGGGGGAAAAAAGCGCGTTATCATGAATAATGCAGGGTAAAGCACAGTCCGCGATAACGCCTGAGATGCCTACGCAGGCTTAACAAACACTTAGGCGCGTGGGTTGCATCTGGAAGCATTCAGTAGCATCCCGCCTTGTGTGATGCTACGCCAAGGCAGCCGTTACAACCGCATATTATTCCTACTCGATTGCGTTATATTCAATTCGCATGTGCGTTGTAAAGGAAAAAAATGTGTTCCCTAATACATTCATCGCGTTATATCCAATTCGCGTTATGAATACAATGCACGTTACAGAACAGACCTTACTTACAGTTTGCATATTACGGAAAAGATTTTCAACTGCTTTTCACGCTACACAAGGCGTCGTCTCATTACACTTATATGGAACTATCGTTTTTGATGGAATAAGAACGGATAATACACTGTAACATGATAACAAATGTAATGTTAATGGCTTCAAAAAGTCCAAGAGTCTCCACTTGTTTGCCATCAGGGGCGGAGCCAGGATTTTGTCTTTGGGGGGGGCTGACTTCAATATTCTGAGATGTCCAGTGTAATGTTTTCCAATGGGCGCCACAAATGTATAAAACTAATTTTTATTGGATTTGAACGTGGAGTTTATAAATAGGTCGGAGCCGCTGATGTGGCTAATAAGTTCGATAAGTTCAAAAGGCTGCCACTCAAGCAGCCTGCAGGGTAGCACAAGGTGGCAGCCAGCATTTTGCAGCAGCCGGACATCCGGTTATCCCGATTAACGACTTTCTCAAAATTTCAGGGGGGGCTTAGACTGTGACTCCGCCCCTGTTCGCCATCATTGTCAACTGATGCCTGGAATCTTCTCCAGGTGGTCTCCAGAGCCCAGAGGCACATTTCTTGCGATATTATTGCAAATTCTCAGAAGTGTTAACTTTTTTTTAGGCACTCTGTATATCCAATCGCGTGCGATTCACTTAAGTTACATCCTGCGCAAATAAACGGGCAGTGTTCGTTAAAATACAAGCTGTGTAGTTATATTTCGCTTTTATCCGAGTGTTCCTCAACAATGCAAGTGCAGTAGCACTTCTAGATTGATGTGGCAGGGTCCAAGGTCCAGTGGTCGCACATTTATTTAATATATTTTAAAATGTTCCCGGATGGCGCCGGGGAAAGCACTGTGACAGCACGTGATGACGTCCACAGGAGTGGGGGATCTGTATGTGCGACCTTCAGCACGAGCCCTACGCAGTATGTTGAACTTTTTTCGCACCGTACGTAGCCAACCATGCTAATCAGAGGTGCATTGGTGAAAATGGACTGGAATACCCCGGAAAATCCTGGAACACCATGGTGGGAGTGGGAATGTGAACCCAACTGTGTTCCGGAAGGAATTAAGGTTTCATCTTTGTCTTTATTTGACTCACAGATAGACCCCGAGGTGAACAGAGAGACCCTCATACACACACAGTTACCCACAGAAACACAGTTACCCACAGACATGCTCAGAGATACACACAGTTACCCACAGACACGCTCAGAGATCCACAGACACGCAGATACCCACATATGAGCACAGAGACCCACGCACGGAGTGATGCTCCTGTTCCCTCCTCCCCCTCCTCCGATCTAGTGGGGGGGGGGGGGATAATTTATGAGTTCCCCCGGTAATGTCTTCCCATTGCCAGGCCAGCGGTGCGCACAGCAAATGAACACGGACAGACGAGCCTCCCGGTGTGCGCCACGCCGCCACACACGTGCTCTCTCCATCACACGCCAATCAGCTCCAATGCACCACACCCAGTGTCACGCGGGCTGCCACTGTTTAACATTAACAACATAAACGTTTGAGTTTTTCAACCAAAACACGGCTAAACAAATATGCATTCCCTTGACCCAGTAGTCACTATAAATGCATGGGGCGCGACGTCCGCCCTTCCACTCCCTCCTCCACCGCGTCGGTTGGCTCCCTCCTGGCCCCCGCCGACCGAGTGATCGGGCCCCCCGCACTAGCGCCCCTCTCTAAGGGACATACTTGTGCTGCTGGCTCGTAGCCACACGGAGTTAAACCACACACACAGCTATCGTTAACGCAGGGGGGGGGGGGGGGTACGAACGCGCTCGCACCTGCGGGCGATTACCTCTTTACGCGCGTACACGCTGTGGCTCCGCGTTCACTTTCGCCGCGCATTCCCCCACGCAGTCGCTCCACACAGAAATCACAGACACCACGCCGATGCTCTGTGCTAACTTTTATTCTCGGCGCAAGAAGAGCCTAGCCTACTGCTGTCCAAGTTCCCAGATACTCAAACGCCCTACCATGTACCTCGTAGCTGTACTCACAGCGTCGCACAGTGCACACGCAACATCGTCGGCCATACAGATACTGCCGGAACTGCTTTCACGCGAAAATCACGGCATACAGTTCCTGACGGGTCACACAATAGTTCAATTTGGCCCCGCTCAGGGTCCGGCTGGCGTATGCGATGACCCGCTCCACCCCATCTTGCACCTGTGACAACACAGCGCCCATCCCACTGCTGCATGCATCGGTGTCCAAGATAAAATGTGTGGAAAAGTCAGGGAAAACCAGGGTGGGGGTATGGGTGAGGTGGTCCTTGAGGGTGGTGAAGGCTGTCTGATAGGCCTCCGTCCAATGGTAAGGCTTCTTAGGGTAAGTGAGCTGGGTTAGGGGACGTGCATTCTCGCTGAATCCCTTCACAAATCGATGGTAATAAGTGGCTAGCCCCAGAAATGAGATGATCTCCATTAGGTTCTTCGGCTGCAGCCATTCCACTTACAAGGGTGCGTACCGACCTTTTCCAGGTTGGTACGCACCCCTGCCTCGCTACCGCGGTGTCCGAGGTACCCCACCTCGCACTGCACAATATAACACTTACGCATTTTGAGCTTGAGATGGGCTGCTCGAAGTCGTTGGAACACCTCCCGCAACCCGGACCAGTGTACAGACAGGGGCCTACTGAACACTATCACGTCATCCAGATAAATCAGACACTGTTTCCACTGCAAGCCCCGCATCACCAACTCCATCAACCACTGGAACGTCACAGGTGCGTTAGTGAGTCCGAACGGAAGCACGCGGAACTCGAACAGTCCCATCGAGGTGGTAAATGCAGTCTTCGACCGATCCTCCTCCGCCATATCCACCTGCCTGTACCCGGATGCCAGATCTAGGGTGGAGAAATAGCGTGCCCCCACGAGGCTGTCAAAGGTGTCATCGATGCAGGGGATGGGGAAGGCGTCACTGAGGGTAACCGTTCAGCTTCCGATAATCAACACAAAACCGTGTCGACCCACCTTTTTTTGTCACCAGCACAACCGGGGTAGACCAGGGGCTCGATGAGGGCTGGATTATGTTATTGCGGAGCATATCCGCGACCACCTCCTTGATCTGGGTCGTTCGAGTGTGCCCACTCAGTAGGCAGGGAGTTTAATGGGTCGGGCTGCACCTGTGCCAATTTGGTGCTCGACGAGGTCCGCCCGACCAACATCCAAATCGTGCTCACTAAACACGTCGGCATACTCCCGTAGTAATCCCCGCAGCTGATCGGCCTCCACCTCGGTTCAATCTGCCCAGGGTACCCGTAGCGCGTCAAGCAGGGGGACGACCTCAGCTCAGGGGTTGGGCCAACCCGCCACGCCATATCCTGGTTGTCCTCGGGGCGGTGGGGATCCTCAGCCCAGAGGGCAAACACCGAGCTGCTAGAGTGGTGTGCGTGCAGGGCCTGCACTGTGGCCACTGGGGTGTGCCGTCGCAGCTTTGCTGGGGTACTGTGGGGGTTAAAAACGCGCAGAAACAGCCGGCCCCCGTCCGCGTTTACCAACGCAGCCGACCCTACAACCCTGTACCTTGCCGCCAACTCCAGGTGAGAGGACAACATTACCTCACCCGATGGTCAGTGAGAGGGGTCGGCAACCGGCAATAGCATCTCTGCGAGGGGGCCAATGGTGACGGCCCACGCCAGGATAGCGGCCACAGGCTCAGAGCGGGGGCGATCCGGCTCCTGTCCCAAGAACAGAATCTGCTCCCTGCTGCCCTCCAAGGTGGCACATCGCTGGCGGGTCTGCACTTTGAGCCACAACTTTTCCAGAAGGTACCTGCAATACACTCGTGGCATAACACGCTCGATACATAGAACTCCTGGTTGCACACCTGGTGTCCGAGGCAGACCTTAAGGGTGACCCTCCCCCAGCAAGCCCATCCCAACTCCACTCGCAGTGTGCAGCAACCGGTCCGGGGCCTGTAGGCAGCCCACGTCAACCCCGACCAAGCTGCAGTGTGTTGCGCTCACGAGTGAGGCTACCGGCCCCGTGTCCAGCAGATTCCGGGTACGCCGACCGTTCACCTGCTCTTCCACCAGTGATGTGGCCCCCGTGATTCCTGCCACTAGGTCCCGCAGCCAGTCGCCTGCATTCGCCGTGTTCTTGGGTGTTATCGGCATCTGCTTGGGGGTCACTTGCTCACCATTATCATTATAGTCTATTTGTGTTGGTACCTCGTCGATTGCACCCCTAATTGGTCCACTCTCTAGGGGGCGTTGGCGTTTAACCCTGGCGCTTGTCCAGTGCGGGTGATCTATGGACAGTCTCTCACGAGATGCCCCCATTGGTCACATAGATAGCACGCACGGGGAAGGGTGGTGGTTCTGTAGGAGGCCACTTGCCCACATCCCCTTCCCCTCCCGATGCGCATTTGTTTGAGCTCTACCTCTAATTGAGACTCTCGCCCGTTAAGCCCCCCTACCGTGGAGCGTAGCCTCTCACCTCGGACTGGACTACAAACCACTGTGGACTGCAGCTTGTTCACATTCCCTGCAATATCTCCTATACTGGTCTGTATCCCTGCCACCCATCCTGGGGTTGCCTGACTGGGTCGCAGAGGCTCCCTCGTCCTCCTCCTCATCATCCTGGTGAGCTCCTCCTCCTCATCTGGAAGGAGGCTTGCGATGGTGCGCTCTCGTCCCAGCCCTCAGACCTGCACACGCTCATGAGCAAATCTCTCACACATGCGCGCGCACCCCACAAGGGTGTTAAATGGGGGATGCAGGCAATTCGCATCTGGCTGCCACCATGCCGTGCTAGTCAGATACCGCTGGACTTTTCGGCGGCGAGGTCATCAATGATCTCGGCATCGTACCCCGGGCATGCGCTCTGCGTTAGCGAGTGCACATCCTTGGCATAGCTGTGGAGGTCCTCGCCGGGCTGGCGGCGTCATGCATTTAATGCTGCTTTTGCCTCCTCCCGGTCGCATGCGCAGAAGCGTTGGCCGAGTCGGTGCATTAGCTCTCCCCATTGCGCTTGCGCGCTTATGGGGAGTGCTTCCACAAAATCGGCTGCCCGCCCATCCAAATGCATGTTTAGCTGCTGTAGCGCTTGCGCGTCTGTCCAGCCATTAATGTCTCTCGCATACGTGAGGTGCTGGGCAAACGATTTCCATGACGGTATCCCTTGCCCAGTGAACACGTACCTTACTGTTGCTTGTGGTGGGGCGCCTCTCTCCCTTGGAGGCATGGGGAGTTGTACCAAGTCTGACACCAATCTATGGGGCCCCACTTCCACTAGGCAGGTGGGGTGCGACGTCCCGCCCTACTGCTGCCAAAGTCCCCAGATACTCAAACGCCCTACCACGTACCTCGTAGCTGTACTCACGGCGTCGCACGGATGCTGTAAGAGTCGGAGGGAGGAGGACGAAAAAAACTTTGCCTATCACTGCCTTGTGGCGACACTCGCTGGCATGACACAGATACTGCGAGTGGCTCAAGAAGGCAGGACGGCAGGGAGTGGGTCTTGGTAGCCAAGAGGTTGAAGAAATATCTATTTTGAACGGCCCCAGGCTCCCCCGGGGTCACGTTGTACCGCGTGGTCAATCATGCGCCTACCTGTGATTACCGCCCGTTTTTTTGTTCTTACATGGAGCATTGCCGCTGGTGGTTTTGCGACCCATTGTCTGTTCGTCCGTACTCATTAATTTATGACTCACCCTTGTTAATCCGGAATGACGCCCGACTGGTGGATGCACACCCTGAAAGTGTGTATTCGGTATGGGGGTTGGGGGAGGTCGGCCGCTGCGATCCCCTGATCTCATTGTCTACCCTTCTCGCTTAATATTTCACCCCAGCCCCCCCCCCCCATGTCGTGAATGACTCATTGCGGCTGGCCCAGTGAACCTTTTTGCGCCCATACAATATTAAGCCAACTCAGGGGCACCGCAATGTGACCTGTCCTGCGAGGGTTAGCCAATCTCCTGAACCCGTGGGACTTTCCTCCTACGGACCCTTCGGATTAAAACCCGGTGTGCCAGGCAATCCCCCCCATGACACGACGTGTGTGCGCTGCGTGTGTGTGCTCAGTGTGGGGGCCAGGGGGGGGGGGGGGTTGCGGCGCTTGCAGAGTTGCTTCGAGGTCGTGGCACTAGAAATGCACATTACCCCGTCCTATGGATTTATCAAATCACCAATAAAACATTGTAATTGTAACACCTGAATTTATTCATTATAATGTGCAATATAACCATTTTAATTTTGACTTAAAGCTTTCGTGACTGCAGGAATTCATATTCTTGGGTCTTTCGGTAAAGTCACGTACATAGGTTCAAAGAAAATATCAAAAAATAACAAAAAACTACGACGTTTCGATCGCAACACAAGCGGTCGTCTTCAGGAAAAGGGGGGTTAGCTTCCAAGGCAAACTGTAAGGGTTTGAAATGGGCGTAGCCCAAATGTCAGCAGCCAATGATAATGTAAGTGGTGGGCAGCCAACCCGACGATGGTTGGTGGAAAACCATGCGAGGGAGTTAACATTTCGTCACTGTGGCACAGATCAAGAGGGAGGTGTCAGGTTGTATTTCCCCTGCAGAAACCGAGCCATGTCACTGTCACCACACGCAATAATTAATGCGAGGCGTACGTAGATGACACGGTGACACTGTGTCCTCACAGTGTGTCTGACTGACGTCAGGCCCACTGTGAGGACCGTGGCGTACGATGCACCGTCATTGCGTACACCCCATAGGCGGGTGTAGTACCAGCCCTAGCGGGGCTTGGTGAGAGCTGGGATAGCATGGGCACCACGCATAGTGTGTAGTGCGAGCTCCCACCAGGGGGAGTGGGAGAGTGTCAGCCCAGGGGCAGGGTTGCCCCAGGCCATGGCACTCTGGTTGACCTAGTAGACACGTGATCTGGAGTGTCCACAGAGAAGGCCCCAGGTGGGGGGGGGGGGCTAGGGGGTGATCACGTATCCAGGGAGAGCTCTCGAGGGGGATCAAGAGGAAGCTAGAATGCTCGAGAAGGCGGGTGGGGCCAAGGGTGGAGCGGCCCTGACCCGGGAGAATATAAGGTGGGTTCCTGAGAGCGACCGGGGTCGCTGCATTCGACAAGCTGAAGATCTACATCCTGGTGGGGGACCCGAGTGAGGGTCGGACCCTTCGTAGCTGTAACTCCTACGTATAGAGTAGTTAACTAGGTGGTCACCACCCTAGGCTGTCTCTGGTGAAGGGGCAGTTACCCCTTTGTGTTAGCGGGTTGATGTTACAATGTGTTGCCTCTAAAAAACGTCTGCGACTCAGTTGGACTCACTACAAATGCATCATTAGCCCTACCCATGGCCCTGCTTGGCCCCCCGAGCCAAATCCAGATGTTTTATGAAGCTGGTGTATTGCGGTTTGGTTCTGGTTCAGAATGGTAAATAGGTAATGGAAAACCACCCTTACTGTGAAGGACTCATGCTGGCTTAGCTTGGACATGCCAGTGGAGGTATCAGTGCGTTTAACACGTAGTAGAGCTTCCACGACCAATATCCATGAGAGGTTTTTTTGTTGGGTTAGATTGCGTAAATATACATGTCGTTAAACCCGCCACCACCCGACACAGCCAATTAGTAAGGTTTGTCACGCAAACAAAACATGCCAATTGGTTACTAGTTCAGCACACCGATGTGTTGGAGAGTAAACTCACATTTATAATCTTCTTTGGTTCTTTCGGTAAAGTCACGTAGAATGAGAATAAAATAATACATTAATAAAATAAAATAACACAATAAAATTCTCACGACGTTTCGGCCACAACACAAGCGGCCTTCATCAAGTGAAGGGACGAGACTGTCTGGAGGACAGCGCTGGAGCGAACACAGCCAAGCTCAGACCGCGACCTTTAAGCTGTGAGAAGAAACAGAGCGTCTTGACAAAGGAATTAGCATAAAAATTAGCATTTAATTGGCGGACTTAGCATGATGCAGTCACGAAAGCTTTAAATCGAAATTTCACATTTATCATTCGAGTACTAAAACTTACATCCTATGGTTGTGGCTTAAGCCAGGAAAAAATACATACATTTGTGATATTGCTATTGATTTAATGATCAACTTATATTTAACATATGCAATTGAAGATATCAGTGTGACAAAAAATAACCTAATGATAACATATCTAATGAATGTAAAACACTAAAATCCCTCTTGCACCCTCAAATGCGGAATGCGCACCGTTATAATGCGGAATGCTCCCGTTATAAAGCGGAAAACTCCCATTATCACGCGGAATGAGCGGCGTTATAACGCTGAATGCTCCCATTATAACACGGCATGAGCGCCGTTATAACGTGGAATGAGCGCCGTTATAACATGGAATGAGTGCCGTTATAACGCGGTTTTCTGAGCAGTCGACGTCGAACTACTTTGAGCTGCATGGCTGAATGGTGTGATACAGTACACGGAATGATACAGTAACACGGTGGTGTAGCCTCATTTATCCCGCCACGTTACTCCCCGTGTGCACATCATATCTCGCCAAACTATATTGTTTACATTTTGTGGGGAAATAGTTTTTCGCTTAAAACGAGTTTTTAGTTTGAAGCAGCACTTTTCAGGAACGCATCTACCGCCTTAAACGAGGACTTACTGTGATGATATATTTTATGATTTTTATTAAACAAGAGCCCAGTATACGGCACGAGCGACAGAAATTATATTTTTGTTAAACGGACAGTGCGATTATCGTGGATATGACATCGTACTTTATATCGTAGCATCCCCATAAGGGGTGACCCGAATGAGCTGTGTGTGCCCATCTGGTGGAGAGGCGATGATGATGATGATGGCGAAGCCACTGCCAACGCATTTCAGTTTCAAATTAGCGAACTATTCTAAACTAAACAAAAAAAATATGTTACCAGGTAAAGGCCCACTGAGCAATGGTATATAGCTCTTTTTTAGAAGCGACCTGGCCGCAGATGATAGCTCAACCAACACAGAAAGTCAAGAACAAAGAGCACGTTTAAACAATTTATTGAAAACAGTGCAACATCAATCAAACACCAATATTTTAACCACATCAATTTGCAGTGGCGATTAATAAAATATAAAAGAGAAGTGCACCTGGAAATGAGGCACTTCTCATAAATGTACTACTGATTTTGGTCCATGGAAGGTACATTAAAAAGCAAAGCGAATCACATGACTTGGTGGCCTGTGGTCGAACCTGGCGCCGACGTCTTTTCGATGCCGAGACACGTAGAAGAGAAGCATTTTGAAGCAATGTCTCCTGTAAACTGGAGTACATTCGCAGTCAGATATTGTCAAGAAATTCTGCGCATTTAATTTAAGCTAAATTCCCAATTCTGAAAGTTTGAGGCTCATGCAATGAACATTAAGTCTCATGTGCCAGAGCGGGTGAGAAAATTCCTCCCTCTGACACGTGGAGCCAGAGGTCACTTCCACCTGTCTCAGAGGTAGCGCTGCTATATCCTCTTCAGTGAGCCATACCATAACACAAGGGGGGGTTGGTTGCACTGCTGAATGAGACATCCCAATGGATACTTCGTCTCAGACATGATGCAAACAGGGAAATTATGATAAAATTGTGTAAAGTTTAAAAGCCATAAAAAACTATTCTTCACATTAATCTAAATCATTGTTGCCACGGCCAATTCGAGTGACGCACACTCGTTACATGTTTTTCTAATTTAAACTTTTCTTAACCAATGAAAAACTGGATGCCAGAGTTAAGTTGATCCTTGGGGCTCTAGTTATCCTTCGATCTCAAAGGATTCGCAAGTAAATTGGGGGATGAATAGGCCTGAATAGGCACGAACATCATACCAGCCACAGTTTTCTTAAATGCCTTTCCCTACACAATGTTTGCAATGATTAGGCAAAAGTCTGCTGGAAGAGTTACTTGGCTTAGATAACGCCCTTCGACAAGCCTACTATTTATTTTAATTCCTTAAGAGCTGGCACGAGTTACTTGCCTGAAATAATCAAATCACCATACATGATTACAGCCTGGATTAATACTCACAAGGCAGTTGTCTGAATTGAGCCCAGAATCTCATGCTTCTTTCCACTGCAACCAGCTGAGCAAGCTTTGCCAGGGCTGTGCCGAGCCAACCCTGGTGTGACTCGAGAGGCGCTAGGTTGTTTTTCCACTGCAACCAGCCGAGCCATGCCAGGGTTGTACCGAGCCAGCCCTGGCGTGACTCGGGAGGTGCTGGGTTGTTTTTCCACTGCACCATCCAAGACATGCCACCGAGCCAGCCCTGGCGTGACTCGGGAGGTACTGGGTTGTTTTTCCAGTGCACCAGCCAAGTCATGCCAGGGCTGTACCGAGCCAGCCCTGGTGGCACACGGGAGGTTGCTGGGTTGCTTTTCCACTGCAACCAGCCGAGCCATGCCACCGGCATCAAACATAAAGACAATGTGGTGACGCCGTGTCCTCACCACGGTGAGCCGACTAGCGTCGCAAGCGATGAATGAATCATTAGCCCTGTTTAACACGTAGTAGTAGGCTAGACTACGTGTTAAATATAAATGTGTCATTCACCCTGCCACCACCCGACACAACCAATTGGCGAGGTTTGTCACGTCAACAAAACATGCCAATTAGTTGCTGCTTCAGCACATTGATGTGGCGAAGAGTAAAAATAGTAAATTTTGTGGGTTTACTCTCCCAACACACAACCGGTGTGCTGTAGTAGTAACAAATTGACACGTTTTGTTTACGTTACCATCTGGATGGAACTCATTTCTTTAGAACTGCTTTTTGTGTTTCGTTTATTGTCCTTCCCTGACACCTCCGATAAGCACGGTTGGCTACATATGGTGCGAAAGAAGTTCAACATAAAATCTTTGCAAATTGGCTGCTTTGGATGATGGCGGGTTAATCAACGCATTTATATTTGTGCGACCTAACCCAAGCAAAACCCTTTGTGAATCATTGACCCTGGCCCTGCTTGGCCCCGAGCTAGATTCAGATACTTTGTTAGCCCAGGAAATTATGCTTTGGTTGTGGCTCAGCACAGCGGGAAACCCAACCACCTGTACCGTGCGGGCCTCGCACTGGCTTGGCTCGGACGATCCAGCGGAGGACGGGCCATCGGCATGACGTGGGTTGTCGTCTTCACGCCCAGGGGCTTGACGGGTCTCACAGGGGGCCCACGTCCCACCAGCGGACGCCGGCGAAGGGTGAGCGGCGAGTGTTGGAGCCGCAGTGCACCTCGCCCTGATTGAGGTGGTAGGTCTTCAGGTCGTCGATGAAGTGGCAAGCGAGGCCCAGGGGCTCGAGCAGGGAGCGCACGCGTCTCTCCAGTGGGCACTGCCCGTCCACGTGCGGCCAGAATGGCTTTGGGATGCCCAGTTGCTTGTTGAGCACCACCATGTTCACCTGGGCCACGGAATGGCACGGGATAAATCAATAAGCCTGTATTTTAACGATGATATAAGGAATAATATACTATTTTGCAGAGGTACTCAGCAGTCAGTTGTAGAGCATTCCAAGCTGATCATTGAGAAGGAGTGGGGCAGTTTAGGGTACAGTATACAAAGTATGCATGTACGGCGAACTTCTTTCGCACCGTATGTAGCCAACAGTGCTAATGGGAGGTGCGGAGTAAAGACAACAAAGTAAACACAACAACAAGCAGTTCTAAGGAAATGAGTTTCCAGTGGCTGAAGTCACGATACAGCGCAAGCACAACGTGATGGCAGTGGTGGATGCTGCATGTTTACAACTGAGACTGCAACTAGTGTGACCACTTGGCAGCATCCTGAAACAAACAGATCTAAGAGAAGGGCACGGCAAGATGCCGGATGGCTATCGTAAACAAAATTCGGATATTGCCATTTCTAACAGATGCCGGTTTAATGGAGCATTCCGGATGGTAAAGTGCCGAATTGCAGAGCTTTTCCTGTATATACTATTAAAAATAATTGAAAAATTAAGCTTCTAATTTCAATGGTCCTCAAACTATTTGTGATGGACAGGTCACTTCTGAAAAAGAGCTATATAGATCAGGGTGGCCTTACCTGTTAAGATAAAAAAAAAATAGTTAAACAGTTAAAGAGTGGAGCTTTGGTAACAGAGCAGCCACACGCACCACGTCGGGGAAGTAGGCCTCGGCCTTGCTCTTGTTGAGGAAGAAGAGCACGGGGAGGTCGATAATGTCCGTCTCCTCCAGGCCCAGCTCCCTCTTGAGCACGTCACGATTCCAGTCAACGCAGCGCTGCCACCACAGTCATTGCCATTAATACGCACGTGTGCGTGTGTGTGCGCGCGCGTGTGTGTGCATTTCTTCACAGGTGCTCGCTAACAGCACTTGCCCCAAAAGGCTGTTAAGGCTATATGGGGGATCTTTGTCTTTGTGCCTTACAAAATTGGCGCATGATTTTTGGCGATTTAAGTGTCGATTTTTTTTCTCTCACTAACTTTTACGACAATTATTTTTTATATGTATGTAGTATTAATAATAACGAACAATAAAAAAGTAGCATTCAAAGCCATCAATTGGGGCTGCCTTTGGCCTTAAGGAAACAATGGGCTTTTGTATTCTTTGGTTCTTTTGGTAAAGTCACGTAGGTAATAATAAAATAAAATAAAACAAAAATAAAAACAACTAAATTAAATCACAACGTTTTGGGCGCAACACAAGCGCCCATCATCAGGTGGAACACAACAGTTAGAAACAACTGCTGAACTGGGCAAGAAATCTGCAGTGAAACAAGACGCTATATAAATAAGAGAGGGGTGGGAGGAGCCAAGGAGGAGATACAGAGTGGGGGGGTGGGGGGTGCGTGGGGCGGGGGGTAGGGCGTAGGAAGATCAAAGCGAGGAAAGGGAAGACACTAACATGCTGAACATGCTGCAATGGACAACATGACACTAAACATGCTGAGCCCTCAAAGGCTTAGGACACATCCAGACGTTGCTGGAGCTGAAATTGCTATCCTCAAAAATTCTAAGAAACCCATTAGAAACATTAGCAAAAACGACCGCTCTGAACTCGCAAATTTGAAAAGAGGGATGCCAGTCATCCTCTCGGCCGACAAGGGCAATGCCACTGTCATCATGGATAAAACCACATACAACAACAAAATCCAGGGCCTACTCAATGATGGCAGATACTTCAAAATCAATAGAGATCCGACTAACAGCCGAACTACTAAAACCAAGAAGAAACTCTCGCTACGAGAGTTTCTTCTCGCTACGAGAGTTTCTTCTCGCTACGAAAGTTTCTTCTGCGAGGGAACACTCTCGCACACAAGCGGAACGCGCCATGCAACAACGCTGGCAGCTCCCCATTATAACGCGGACCACGTCCCGTTATAACGTGGACCACGCCCCGTTATAACGTGATTCCTGAGCGGTCGACGACGAACTACTTTCTTGAGTCGCGTGACTAAGCGGTATGATACAGTGACGCGGAACAATACAGTAACGTGACGGCGTGCCCTCATATCAGTTGTATGTCCTACCATCGGATTAGTTAATTATGCAAACGTGATTCAGTCGGTTAATTCCTCGCTTAATGCATTTACACTGAACGCAGCACTTTTCAGGAACGCATCTACCGTGTAAACGAGAAATTCCTGAACACGAATGAATCCCACCCCCTGCACGAGGCAGGTGTTTGGAGGACACCCTAAAATCGTGTGTGTGCGGTTATCTCTGGGTATCAGTGTGTGTGTGTGGTTATCTCTGGGTACCAGTGTGTGTGTGTGGTTATCTCTGGGTATCAGTGTGTGTGTGTGTGTGGTTATCTCTGGGGATCAGTGTGTGTGTGTGGTTATCTCTGGGTATCAGTGTGTGTGCTTATCTCTGGGTATCAGTGTGTGTGTGTGTGCTTATCTCTGGGTAAAACAACCCCCTACCTCCTCGCGGTGCCGGACGGGCAACTCTGTCGTGGACAGCGCTGTGGGGGGAGATCCAATTTTGATTGGCTCCTCCCCTCATGGCATATGTGTCCACCACAGGGGCTAAACGTGGGCTCTGGACGGGTGCGAGGGGCTGGTAACCCCTCCACCTTCAATTAATTACCACGAAACCACGAATTAAACTGAAATATGTAACAACTAAGCTTGTGCCGGAGGCCCCGGGGGGCCAGGCGTCTATGACGTCTCCTGGCCAAACCCCAATTGGCGGAGCCAGGAGATTGAATACCTACCCTCGGGGCTACTCCAGAAATAACGAAAAGCCACTACGGGTGGCCACGTGGAATGTTCGAACGCTCACTGCAGAGGAGAGGCTGCCACTCCTCTGTCGGGAGCTGGACCGGTACCGCCTGGATCTATGCGGCATTCAGGAGGTCCGGTGGACCGGCTCTGGCTCCTGCCACCATGAGGGGTGGACAGTCCTCTACTCGGGGCAGCAGACTGCCAAACAACAGGGTGTGGGTCTTCTTTTGAACAAAAGAATGAAGGGGGCGTGGGAGCGTGGCGGTGAGGTGTGGGAAGCTGTAAGCCCCAGGCTACTTTGGGCTCGCCTTCCCATCAACCGGAGGCGAGGAATGGTGGTCGTGGTTACTTATGCCCCCACCGAAGATGAACATCTGTGGAGGGATGCAGGCAAAGCCGATGAGTCAGATGCCTTCTATGACCTCCTGTCACAGGTGCTGGCTAAAGTGGCCCCTCGGGATAGAGTCATCATGTTGGGTGACTTCAATGCCCGAGTTGGTCATGATACTGGCACCAGGTCTGGAGTGATTGGAGGGCATGGGCCAGATCAGCTCAATAACAACGGTAGGAGGCTGCTAGATTTTTGTGCAGCCCATGGGCTTGTAATTACCAACACGCTGTTCCGGCATCGGCGTATCCACACAACATCATGGATGCATGCCGGGTCCAAGCAAGAACATCTGCTGGACTACATAGTGACGGACCAGCGAATGCGAGGCCATGTCCTTGACACCAGGACCTACCGTGGAGCTGATCTGCCCTCTGACCATCGACTAGTCATCTGTAAGATGCGCCTGCCATTCTTCCACTCCGGTGGTGGGTGTACACCCAGGACCCCATTCCAACATAAAGTGGCCTGGTCTCAGTTATCTGATGAAAGTTGCAAGCGAGAATTTCATCATCGCTTGCGGCTGGGATTGGCATCGTCCCCGACTCCTCCTGATGTCGAGGGTAAATGGGCGAGGTTTAGGACTGTGACTCATGCAGCTGCAATGGCTGCTTTGGGTACGCGGTCCAGACCTCCCCAGACACCCTGGATGACAGAGGAGTTGTTCAGGATGGTTGAGAAAAAGCGACAGGCCCACTGTCATCGGCTACAGAATCCCACGTCAGAGAATGAGGAGGCTTACCGCAGCCTTCGCTCGGAGGTTCGGAGAGCCGTGAGGTGCTGCAAGGATGGGTGGTGGTCGCGGGTTGCTGAGGAGATGGAGTCTGCCTCAGTGGCCCGTGATCACAAATCTCTATTTAACTCCATCAAAAAAGTAACCTGCAGCGCCACACCTATTACCATCATTAGGGGAAAAACGGTGATCCAATTTCCGACCCCCAGGAACAGGTTCGCAGATTTGCTGAGCATTTCTGTGAGGTCCTGGGGGAGGGAAAATCCCTCAGCCAGGAAAACATCGTGGCATAAAGTGAGGATGACCCTGCTGAGGCTGCGGTGCCTCAAATATTGGATGAAGTCACCCCCTGTGAGTGGCTGGCTGAGGTGCCATCTGCTGAGGAAGTATTGAAGGCGATCCGGAGTCTGAGACCAGGAAAGGCAGTGGGCAGAGATGATCTCCCAAGCGAAATGCTGAGGGAGGGTGGCGTTTGTGCACAGACTGCCCTATATGACATCATAACAACAGTCTGGACCACTGGACGGGTTCCGCAGGATTGGAAGGATGCCCTGGTGGTCCCCCTTTTTAAGAAGGGGGACCGCACAGACTGTAACAACTACAGGGGCATCTCACTCCTCAGTGTGCCGGGAAAGGTCCTGGCAAGGATTATTCAGCATCGCCTTGCCAGGCACGCTGCGGAGAGGCTTGCGGAGCCCCAATGTGGTTTCAGGAAAGGGCGGTCCTGCACAGATGCTATATTTTCTGTCCGTCTGCTACAGCAGAGGTGTAGGGAATTCCAACAAGACCTACATCTCTGCTTTATTGACCTGGTCAAGGCCTATGATACCATCAGTAGGCCTGGGCTCTGGGTCGTTCTTCGTGCTTTTGGAGTACCTGACCCTCTGCTCACGATCATTAAGGACCTTCATGATGGTGAGCGGGCCCGGGTAAAACTACGTGGCCGGGAGTCAGAGCCATTCCCTGTACACCTTGGGGTGCGACAGGGATGTCCTCTGGCTCCCACATTATTTAACATCTATTTTGACCACGTAGTTCGTGAAGCCTTCAATAGCTGTACCGGGGGAATCTCCATATGGTACAGATATAATGGGAGGCTAATCGATGCCCGGGTGCGGTCAAGGGATGGCTCCCTATTGCTCAACCACGTTATGTATGCTGATGATTTGGTAATAGCTGCTCAGTCAGAGGAGGAGTTGGAGACGCTGCTGCTGAGACTGGAGCGTGCCACTAAGAGGTGGGGCCTTACCATCAGCCCCACCAAAACTAAGCACCTGCCTGGGTATTTTGTACCATCGGACACTCCACCCCCACAACTCCCAATCGGTGATGGGGCAGTTGTGGAGAGAGTGGAGAGTTTCCCATACCTGGGCAGTGTGCTTATGACTGGCTCCAGTTTAACAGCAGAGGTCTCACTCCGAATCAGTCGAGCGGCAATATCTTTTCATCGGTTGCGTAACGCTGTGTGGAAGCTACCTGGTCTGTCGCTCCGCACTAAGCTTCAGGTCTTCTCGGCCACGGTCATTCCCTCCCTTCTCTACGCTTGCGAAACGTGGACACCCCTAATGGAACATCTTCGCCGGTTAGAAACATTTAGGCTGGCCTGCCTACGATCCATCCTGGGTTTAACCAGACTGGATTGTGTGAGCTCACAAATCCTTGAAAGATCTGGGCAGGGTCCCATCGGTGAGCTCCTCCGGCAGGCAAGGCTGCGATGGCTGGGTCATGTAGCCCGCATGCCCAGCCACCGCATGCCGAAACAGCTTTTGTTTGGCCAGATTGAGGGGGCTAAGCGGGCGCGGCACGGGCTAGAGAAGAGATGGAGTGATGTGGTACAGGAGGACGTGGAGCTGAGTGGACTTGCCGATGACTGGTACCAGCGGTGTCAAGATCGGCCTCTGTGGAGGAGGCTCGTGAAGGATGCTACTGGGCAGTTGGAGGCAGTCACCCTCCAACAACAACGGAGGGTGGAGGAGCGACGCTCACAACAGCGAGCGGAGCGCCGGGTGTCTAAAGCACAGCAGGTTGGCACAGTAGGGGGCACAGGTGGTGCATCAGCCAGTCATCTCAGTCAGTCGACCCGTGGCACCTGGGTCTGCCCCGTGACCTCCTGCCAGCGGGCGTTCGACACTTCACGTGGCCTCAGGGTGCACATAGCCTGGCACATGCGTCGTGGTGACGTCACCGCCACTTAGTGGCGAATGGCGGTTGTTGTTGTTATCTCTGGGTATCAGTGTGTGTGTGTGGTTATCCCTGGGTATCAGTGTGTGTGTGTGTGGTTATCTCTGGGTATCAGTGTGTGTGTGTGTGGTTATCTCTGGGTATCAGTGTGTGTGTGGTTATCTCTGGGTACCAGTGTGTGTGTGGTTATCTCTGGGTACCAGTGTGTGTGTGGTTATCTCTGGGTACCGGTGTGTGTGTGTGTGGTTATCTCTGGGTATCAGTGTGTGTGTGGTTATCTCTGGCTATCGGTGTGTGTATGTGGTTATCTATGGGTATCAGTGTGTGTGTGGTTATCTCTGGGTACCAGTGTGTGTGTGTGGTTATCTCTGGGTCTCAGTGTGTGTGTGTGGTTATCTCTGGGTACCAGTGTGTGTGTGTGGTCATCTCTGGGTATCAGTGTGTGTGTGTGTGTGGTTATCTCTGGGTACCAGTGTGTGTGTGTGTGTGGTTATCTCTGGGTATCAGTATGTGTGTGTGGTTATTTATGGGTATCAGTGTGTGGTTATCTCTGGGTATCAGTGTGTGTGTGGTTATCTCTGGATATCAGTGTGTGTGTGTGTGGTTATCTCTGGCTATCAGTGTGTGTGTGGTTATCTCTGGGTATCAGTGTGTGTGTGTGGTTATCTCTGGGTATCAGTGTGTGTGTGTGTGGTTATCTCTGGGTATCAGTGAGTGTGTGTGTGGTTATCTCTGGGTATCAGTGTGTGTGTGTGGTTATCTCTGGGTATCAGTGTGTGTGTGTGGTTATCTCTGAGTATAAGTGTGTGTGTGTGGTTATCTCTGGCTATCAGTGTGTGTGTTTGGTTATCTCTAGCTATCAGTGTGTGTGTGTGGTTATGTCTGGGTATCAGTGTGTGTGTGGTTATCTCTGGCTATCAGTGTGTGTGTGGTTATCTCTGGGTTTCAGTGTGTGTGGTTATCTCTGGGTATCAGTGTGTGTGTGTGGTTATCTCTGGGTATCAGTGTGTGTGTGTGGTTCTCTGGGTACCAGTGTGTGTGTGTGGTTATCTCTGGGTACCAGTGTGTGTGTGTGGTTATCTCTGGGTATCAGTGTGTGTGTGGTTATCTCTGGATATCAGTGTGTGTGTGTGGTTATCTCTGGGTATCAGTATGTGTGTGTGGTTATTTATGGGTATCAGTGTGTGGTTGTCTCTGGCTATCAGTGTGTGTGTGGTTATCTCTGGCTATCAGTGTGTGTGTGGTTATCTCTGGCTATCAGTGTGTGTGTGTGGTTATCTCTGGGTATCAGTATGTGTGTCTGGTTATTTATGGGTATCAGTGTGTGGTTATCTCTGGGTATCAGTGTGTGTGTAGTTATCTCTGGGTACCAGTGTGTGTGTGTGGTTATCTCTGGGTACCGTGTGTGTGTGTGGTTATCTCTGGGTATCAGTGTGTGTGTGGTTATCTCTGGGTATCAGTGTGTGTGTGGTTATTTCTGGCTATCAGTGTGTGTGTGGTTATCTCTGGCTATCAGTGTGTGTGTGGTTATCTCTGGGTATCAGTGTGTGTGTGTGTGGTTATCTCTGGGTATCAGTGTGTGTGTGTGGTTATCTCTGGGTATCAGTGTGTGTATGTGTGGTTATCTCTGGGTATCAGTGTGTGTGTGTGGTTATCTCTGGGTATCAGTGTGTGTGTGTGGTTATCTCTGAGTATAAGTGTGTGTTTGTGGTTATCTCTGGCTATCAGTTTGTGTGTGTGGTTATCTCTGGGTATCAGTGTGTGTGTGGTTATCTCTGGATATCAGTGTGTGTGTGGTTATCTCTGGATATCAGTGTGTGTGTGTGGTTATCTCTGGGTATCAGTGTGTGTGTGTGGTTATCTCTGGGTATCAGTGTGTGTGTGTGGTTATCTCTGGGTATCAGTGTGTGTGTGTGGTTATCTCTGGGTATCAGTGTGTGTGTGTGGTTATCTCTGGGTATCAGTGTGTGTGTGTGTGGTTATCTCTGGGTATCAGTGTGTGTGTGTGGCTATCTCTCGGTATCAGTGTGTGTGTGTGGTTATCTCTGGGTACCAGTGTGTGTGTGTGGTTATCTCTAGGTACCAGTGTATGTGTGTGGTTATCTCTGGGTATCAGTGTGTGTGTGTGTGTGTGGTTATCTCTGGGTACCGGTGTGTGTGTGGTTATCTCTGGGTATCAGTATGTGTGTGTGGTTATTTATGGGTATCAGTGTGTGGTTATCTCTGGCTATCAGTGTGTGTGTGGTTATCTCTGGCTATCAGTGTGTGTGTGGTTATCTCTGGATATCAGTGTGTGTGTGTGTGGTTATCTCTGGGTATCAGTGTATGTGTGTGGTTATCTCTGGGTATCAGTGTGTGTGTGTGGTTATCTCTGGGTACCAGTGTGTGTGTGGTTATCTCTGGGTATCAGTATGTGTGTGTGGTTATTTATGGGTATCGGTGTGTGGTTATCTCTGGCTATCAGTGTGTGTGTGGTTATCTCTGGCTATCAGTGTGTGTGTGGTTATCTCTGGCTATCAGTGTGTGTGTGGTTATCTCTGGGTATCAGTGTGTGTTTGTGGTTATCTCTGGGTATCAGTGTGTGTGTGTGGTTATCTCTGGGTATCAGTGTGTGTGTGGGGTTATCTCTGGGTATCAGTGTGTGTGTGTGGTTATCTCTGGGTATAAGTGTGTGTGTGGTTATCTCTGGCTATCAGTGTGTGTGTTTGGTTATCTCTAGCTATCAGTGTGTGTGTGTGTGGTTATCTCTGGGTATCAGTGTGTGTGTGTGGTTATCTCTGGGTATCAGTGTGTGTGTGTGGTTATCTCTGGGTATCAGTATGTGTGTCTGGTTATTTATGGGTATCAGTGTGTGGTTATCTCTGGCTATCACTGTGTGTGTGGTTATCTCTGGGTATCAGTGTGTGTGTGTGTGGTTATCTCTGGGTATCAGTGTGTGGTTATCTCTGGGTATCAGTGTGTGGTTATCTCTGGGTATCGGTGAGAACAGATCCACCTCTGGGTGAGTACTGTACCTGCACATATGAGTTTTCAGTCGTGATGTTCATGTCATCGAGGATGTCCTGAATCTTCATCTTGCGCTTCAAGGATGAGACAACTGTGGGGGGATCATAGATGGGAAGAGGGCGATCGCGATAGAGGAGATAGGGGAGGTCAGAGGTTCGGTTTTATTGCTTACAGCATTGACTGCAACTAGCATTACTGCCTGTTGTAATTGCAACTAGCAGTAACTACAACTAGCAGTAGTTACTCTCCGCCTGATGATGCTAGTTGTAATTACTGGTGAAACGTCATACTCAGATTGTAAATGTTGTGGTTTTGCTCTCCAACACACCAGTGTGCTGTGCTAGTAACAAATTGACATGTTCTGTTTACGTGACAAACCTCAATAATTGGCTACGTCGGGTGGTGGCGGTTTTAACGATATATTTATATTTACGCGATCGAACCCAAAAAATCCGTATCATGGATTCTGTTCAATGCAAAACCGGTACCAGTTCTCGGTGCAAATCAATCGCTGCCACCCAAAGAGAGATGCCAATTTCCTGATTGTCCAACTGAAACCCAAGACATGTGGCAGCCCTGACTTTATAATGAAATCCAATGTTTGGTGCTTTACAGTTATATTTCTTGGAAAGGCAAGGATATTTTCCCAAAACTTATTTTTCCTTTCTTTGCAACTCACCAGATGGAAGTCTTTACAAAAGGGTCGGTGCCTCATTTTTCTCTTCTAGTCAATCATGACCCAGAACTTTTATCAGTATTAGAATACAGCCTAGGAAAGGCCTATGGCCCAATCCACCACGTTTCCATTTTGCCTATTTTCAGATGCCCTCAACCAGCAGAAGACGAATATGTACCTGCACATTAAAGCTGAACACATACGTAGTCGTCCAGTGTGCGGGACACCGCTTCGTTTAATACCTAGGATCTTGCGCTGCCAACTGCAGCTTCAGTGTCGATGTTTATAAATCTGCAACCTGTACATTTAGTGACGAGCTCACCATCTGGGCAGCTCTCAAAGAGGCGCCTCTGGCCGTGGCCCTGCTGGTGCAGCTCCTTGAGGAGACGGAGACACGCGTTGGGGCTCGCGAGCAGCAGCCGGAACCCCTGTGTGTCGCACGACACCACAAGCACGTCGCACACAACAACAACAACAACAACACAAACACGTAGAACACAACGACAACAACAACACAACACACAACAACACAAACAGACAAAGATCGTTAGCAGCCCCGCCGTTGGGCAGGGGCCTCCCACCCGCGTCTTCCACTCTTCACGATCTCTTTGCCACCTCCATCTCGGGCATTCCTCCAAACTGCATCTCATCCCACAATCTCATTTTCCATCTTTATTTTTCCTTCCAATCTTCAGCCTTAGTTCCTTTGGTAATGTTTCCCCATCTCTCATCCGATGTGCGAGCAACATCAGCCCCCCACTGGAAGCCCTGCGGCCACCTTGCACCACTGATGACGCCGTCACTCGTTGTCACCGAGGTCGTCACTCTGGACATCTTTGTGAAAAAGAGCTTCATAGCTTATCGGATTCTTCCAATACAAATAATTGAGATTCTGATTCTGAGTGTCGCGCGTCTTGAAGGCCGGATGCCTGACAGCTGCCATTGGAAAATGCATGCCGCTAAAATGATTATTTAAAAAAAAATCTATCTTCTAATTGATTATTCTAAATCTCACACAAACCCTCCTATTATCTCCTTTTTAAAGATCTTATTCTCTTGTTCAAGTAACAAAAAAGATCAATGGTTATCTATTTGCATATTCTCCAGATTATCGGAGACAGTTTTTTCTCCCCGGTACTTTAAAACAACATTTCGAGGTGCATCTTATTATTCAGTTTGCGTGTGTGTGACCAATATAAGTTTATTGACACTGGGTACATGTTTAGAGTGCATCGGACCTTGCGAGTCTTTTATAATGATGAGACTATGGTACACCTTCAATAGTGCTGTTTGTTTGCTCACCCCTTGGCATTTTGGGCCTGTGCTTAGCAACCACAATAATAACAACAAAATAAACAACGCATGTATATAGACACTGTGCATGCACGTGCGCTCGCATATACTGGGTGCTTAAAAAATGTTTAACACTTCTGAGAATTTGCAACAATACCACAAGAAATGTGCCTCCAGGCTCTGGAGACCACCTGGAGATGATTCCAGGCATGTGTTGACAATGATTGCGAACAAGTGGAGACTCTTTCACATTTTTAAGCTATTAACATTACATTTTGGTATCATGTAACAGAACCTTATCCGTTATTTTTCCATTAAAAACGATAGTCCCATGTAACTTTTTTTTTTAAGCGCCCCGTACTCGAGGCCAGCAGTACTCCACGCCAGCGGTTCCCAACCCTCTTTCTCAACCTCCAAATATTTAGCGGAACACCACACGCTGCAACCACTAGTTATTTGAAATTGTGCATTTCCTCGGTGAGGATGTTATTATTTATCTTTTTTCCACGGGACCCCCACCCCACCATAGTAGCCTCGCGGACCACAGGTTGGGAACCACTGCTCGAGTTTAAAAATCCATGCATGGTCCTGCCCCACCCTCGTCTTGCTTCTCTCGTCTCTTACTCCTCTGTTACATCCTATCCTCTATGCTCCCAGCCTCTGCGGTCCCTCTCCGTGCCGCCCTCGCCATCCTGCGCCCAGTCTCGCTCTCTTGTTCCTTGTCCCTTCTCGCTCCCCTTCACTGGGAACAAACTCCCACTGCACGCAGAACAATCATCGTTGCCAGAACAACCAGCTGCCGCTCCTCCCTTAAATCCCATCTCTTCTCCCGAGTCCAATCTACTACTGCTGCTGCTACTAAACTAACCTGACATTAAATTAAACCATTATTTTACCAGGTGAGGCCCACAGAGCGATGTAGCGCTTTTTCATAAGTGGCTAATCACATGGGCATTTATTGCAGCCAAATGCTTTAAAAGCATATTGATTCTAAACGTGAAGGACCCGGAGACAAATCCTCACGACCACAAGAAGAACATGCAAACTCCAAATATACAGCAGGCGTCAGGGTCAATATCAAATCCACGACCTCCTGTACACCAGGTAAGGTAGTTAAAATCTTGCCACCGTGGCGCCTCCCTGCCCCCCACCCCCCAGCTACTACCAGACCTACCCCAACCCCCCTCCCCCCCTTTAACCTTTCCCACCTGTCCTCTTAACCGTCACCTAAACTACACTACCACTTTCTAAATCGCAACAACCACCATCATCTCCCGTGTAATCGGAGGACAGTTCGCCGTCACGCCAAACCTTGCGGTCGGGCGCCGGCACGAAGCTCATGAACTCGTCGACGTGGCCCACGCTGAGCCAGTCGCTGTAGAGCTCAACGGGCGCCTGCACCTGCTGCGCGAACAGGAACTCGCGCACGGCGCGGGCCATGTTGCGCCCCGCGCGCTCTCTGCAAGGACGGGACCACATACGAGGCAAGCGGGGCGGGGCAGGTCAGGGCGGGTCGGGATGTCACACCTGGGCGACAACGGCGGGCGACGGGGTCGGGCGGATAAGGGGACAGGAGGTGGAGAGGGAGTGCGATGAATGGGACGATCCTGTGAACGAGGGACCCATTTGAGCTCGAGGTGGGGCGGGGCACGTGCCTGCAGTCCCACCACTCTTTGAGCGATTGGTGCAGCGGCGGCGTGGTTGGCTTGGGCCCTGGTGCAAATAATTAATTGGGCCCCCCCATCCCTCCATCTTCAATTTCCCCCCACTTTGTTTCGTAAATCGTTACATCTCAATTATCAAGAAGTTTCATGACCGTTCCCCTCTCGTCTGTGTCTGTGTGTGTGTGTGCGAGTTGCTTAATGAGCTCATTCTTAACGTTTTCTGGCTTTCTGCCGAGTTCAGTAATGATTCTGAATTATACTATACAGTGTCTTTATGTTAAGGTTTGGTATTGAGCGGTATGCCACGTTCATTTAAAACATATCGCACGATATGCTGCTAGGTGTGTACAAGTTATTCGTATGCTGGTGGTCACATGGCTATATATTTTTTTGCTATCAGGAAGCCACTAGAGCTATGCCCTTTTAAATCGAAATTGAAAACTCATTCTTTAAAACTGATTTTTGTACTTAGTTGATGCTGCAATCTGAAATGTAAATGATCTATAAACCTGAAATGTTTACATCTGAACTTCAATCTTTGATTAGTTTGTTGTCCTTCCCCCACACCTCCGATTAGCATGGCTGGCTAACGTACGGTGCGAAAGAAATTCAACGTACACACATACATACAACACCTGGACTCCTCTGGCTTATCGGCAGTGCCTTCCCTGTGACGGCACCAGAGAAGGTGTCGGTCCAGCGATGTTGGTAAATTGTCACGATTCAGCATCGTGACCAAACTCGCCCGTTTTTTGTGTAGATGATACCTCGTTTGTATTCTTTCTCGTTTATTTCTCTGTCTTATTTGATGCAGTTTTTCTTGACGATGGGTGTTCGAGGAATCGCCGATTCCAATACAATTGTTGCATTCAACGGCGAGCGCACGTCCAAATGTGCTTTCATGTGAATTCCAGTCTTGCGCAAGAGCAATTTTCGACGTCCGCTCGCCACGACGAGAGTGCTTCGGGAGGAGGCAGCTTTGCCATTGTCTCCCATTGAAGAGGGCGAGGGCTACAGTGGTCCACTATATACTTGAACTGATTAAGGCTAGTGCAAAGGAGAAAGCTATTTTTACAAGTGGGCTAACGGGGCAGGGGGGGGGTGAAGATAACTGTACAAATGAGACAGAATAAACGTGAAAAAAACTTAAGCTCAAAAGAAGTGGAAGGGGAGGGGGGTGGAGCTGGGGTGAGGAGGTGCATTGCGCGATGAACCAGCCGACCCGAGTTCGAATCCCGGCCAAGTTCAACATCGGTAAGAGAGCGTTAACCTGAACCGGGCCTGGCCCATTCCCACTCACCAAACGTGAAGGATGGTGGAAACAACCCCCTGTGATTGACATTGGTGTGGAGTGGCCTTAATGCAGAAGATTTTTTTTTTTAATGCAGCAAGGCAGTCGATTTCTTCCTTACTTTCTGAAAACATGACGAAAAGTAATGACTGCAGAAGAATCGGCTATTGAATCAAATCGCGACCGCCAACTGTGAATATTCATCGAGTTATTGAAGAGGTTCGGGGGGAGAGGGGGGGAGGTAAATCGTTCCACGCGGCGACCCCCAGAATGAGAGAGAGAGTGAGAGACCCAGCAGACTCACCCGGGGAAGGCGCTGCCGATGATGATGCGCCCGAGCGGATATTTCTTGCCCCTCACGATGACGGGGGGCGACACCTCAAGGTTTCCGAACGAGTCCAGGCTGTTCACCTCCTCACCTCTCCGTGGCGTCCGCGTCACATAGCCAAAGTCCTTGCCCTGAGACGCCGGCCAGGGCGGAGAAACACCATGGTGGCGAGATATTAACTACCTCGCCTGGTATGCTGGAGGTCGTGGGATCGATCCCGATCCTGATGCTTGTTGTATATTTGGAATTTGCATTTACTCTGTCTCCATGGTCTTGTGGATTTTTCTCCGGGTCCTCCGGTTTTCCCCTGCACATTAGGAAACGTGCAAATTTTGATTTAAAGCTTTCGTGACTGCAGGGATTCATATTCTTGGTTCTTTCGGTAAAGTCACATAGAAGGGAAACAATATAATTTTATTGTTTCATATTTTTATTATTTTATCGTTTCCCTTCTACGTGACTTTACCGAAAGAACCAAGAATAGGAAACATGCAGTTCAGAGTATTTGGCTGCTACAAATCTCCACGTGATAAGCCACTTCGTTGAGCTATAATTTGTGGCTAGGTCGCTTCCGAAAAAGAGTTATATAGCTCAGTGGGCCTTACCTGGTAAAATAAAATTAAAATGTTGGTTTTAGTTTTAAACATAAAAGGCTCAAATACTGAAGGGCTATACTCTGTTGGAATTTTACACGTAGAAACAGACTATGGTTCATTTACATTATTACCCACAACTAGTGACATAGGTGCATAATAAATTGAGTACAGTCTCAGAAAAGTTCACGATTTGAAAAAGAGCTATAATTGCTCAGTGAGTCTCACAATAAAAAAGGTTAAGTTTTTAGGAACGCAGTGAACATGACTCTTGCCATGTTCCAAATGCCTCCACGGACTCATCCCTGCATGCCCTGTCTCACTCCATCCTCTCTCATCATCCCCTCGGTTCCCCTCCATGCCCCCTCCGGCTGCTCCCCTCTCATCTCACTCTACTCTCCTCCGCACGACCTTCCCATTGCTCCCTTTCTTTCTGTCCTCACCATACTCCCCCCTGTGTATAGGAGGAGACGATGCATTTCGTGGGTAACAAGCAATTCCTGTGAATGGGTCACTGGATGATGTATACAGTAGTCCCTCGTTAACACTGACATCGTTTAATCATACTTATCAACCCGTTATCAGTGCCTACCTTATTTCAGACCAATTCAGACCTTATTGGTCACCCCGTGCCCTATAAAGAGCGAAACACAAACAAATAGAAACGAAATTTTGCCTGCATGGAAACGGCTGTACGCCATATGGACCTGAAAACTTAATTTCCCTGTACAAGAATACGGGTAAACCGTATGGGTTGACAGGTATGTTTAATGTTTTTTATTGGTTCACGTTTCACCTCCTATAGGACCCCTATGGTTCCGACTGACGTTAACATGTTGATTGATGGTAATGTTTACGTTCTGCACCCCGCGTGCAGAACGTAAATATTCACTGACTGGTACCGTCTTCTGGTTTCAGGAGAAACCAATTTTCTGATATACCATGATAAGTCCGCCTGTTCGCCCAACTTAACGCCATTCGATTTTTTTTTATCTCTGCGATTTTTGAAATAAAGTCTACAACCAGCAAACCAAGGGACGTTGAAGAGCTTAAACATGTTACTATTGTTGATGTTGCTGTGTCATCATCCATCCCCTACAGCTGTGTTGGAAAATGTTTTCTCAGGGTTTGAACACTAAATTACATTGATTATAGTGAATTATTGATCACAGTAAATGATGGACGACGTGGAAGTTTATTAATAATCTGATAATATCTAATCAATACCATAACATTTTAAATAAACTAAAAACTCCTAAGCTATATTACATGAATTTCAGTACCTCGAATAACAATAAAACTACTCAACATTCTTTTTGGTCTATTATTTTTAGGACACCCTGTATGCTTTTTAATCGGCGATTCGCGAGGCAATGTGCATCGCTTTCTGCCATGGAAACGTAGCCAGCAAGGGCTGGGTGGGGTCGACGCGGTTACCGTTAGAAGGATCGGCACGGCCTTTAGTCCGCGGTCCCGCGGGGAGTCGAACACGACCGGTATGACCTTGGTGGGAGACTCGCAGTAGCCAAACTCCATCTCGTCCTGCGCGTGAACAAAGAGAAACGTCAATTACCCCACCCCCACGAAACCTCGCTGAGTGAATGGAGCAGCGTTGGTAGCGAGTGAATCCACCGGCGGATTAAGGCCTCCCAACGTCGCACTAAGACGTTTGGTTTGTTTGACCATACTTCACCGTACATGTGGAGTGCAGGCTGAAGGGTGGGCCCTATGGACCAGTTCGCATATCACTCGCCACTGATGTTAGCTGTCATCAGGAAATTGAACTTGGGTCGCCGGGTTCATAACCCAGTGCTCTCACCACTGCACCACTGCTCCATCCGAACTGCAGCATTATGAGATGCTAATCGTCTTCGACAGATGAGCTCACCCTGTGTGCTTACCACTATGAGTGGGAATTGAACTCAGGTCACTGGGTTAGTAGCGGCTCCCCACACACCTCAGTACTCCCTCTTACACACTGGCACTCACCTGCATCCACACGTCCATCGTGTTCTGTATTTCAAATGGCGTGCACCCGGCCAAGCGAGTGAGGGTGGTCATCTGCTTTATGAACACCGCATTCGTGTCGACCCTGGGGTGACAAAGATCCCCCATGTAGCCTTAACAGACTGTAGGGGCAAGTGATGTTAGTGAGCACCGATGAAGGCCGGCACTGCACACGAGTGGGTAGGTGGCCAGCACTACACCAACACACACTCTTCCACATCTTTGTCTCCCTAGTGGTGACGTTTACACATCGCACCAGCTACTCCTTTGAGGCTAAGTCGAACTAGGGGAGGTCCAGGACCGGTAAAAATATTCGCTATCACTGGTGTTGGCTGTTAACGGGAATCGAACCTGGGTTGCCGGGTTTGTAGCACAGCGCACTAAACTGCTACACTTCCACTCCCTACTAACCCTGGGGTGAGCACACAACCACACAACCACGCAACCACAGAACCATGCAACTGCTCACCATGCAGAGAGGATACACCACGCATCACACGCCACCGCATCTAGGCCCGGTTTAATTTATTTTTGGGATTAACATAAAAATCGGGAACGTATCCCTACTCCCCAGATACCTTGACATGAAGATCTCCAGCGCCGGCTGGGTATTTGGAGTCATGATCCACGGAGCCACACGGAAAACCACGCTGTCGGTGAAAATCGGTGTGCTCTGTGTGCCCTGGCAAAAGCGAGAAAATAATAATACTATAGCGTCACAAAACAACCTAACCCATAATTTTCATAATGATGGTTTTGGGTTAGATAACGTAACAATAAATGTGTCGTAACCCTCCACCACCCGACACAGCCAATTGGTAAGGGATGTGTCATGTAAACAAACGCCAATTAGTTCCAACTTCAGGCCACCGGTGTGTTGGAGAGTAAATCCACAACATTTACAATTTGATTTCGATTTAAAGCTTTCGTGACTGCAATGATTCATCTTCTTTGGTTCTTTCGGTAAAGTCACGTAGAATGAGAATAAAATAATAAATTGATAAAATAAAATAACACAATAATATTCTCACGACGTTTCGGCCACAACACAAGCGGCCTTCATCAGGTGAAGGGACGAGACTGTCTGGTAGGACAGCGCTGGAGTGAAAGAGCCACGTTCAGATCACGGCCTTTAAGCTGTGTGAGAGGAACAAAGCGCCTTGACAAAGGAATTAGCATATAATTTAGCATTGAAATGGCTGAATGATTAGCTTGTGACTGGTCACAGAAATAGTTATGTTAAAAGCTAAAGCATACACATCCGCAGAAGCACCCCTTGACAATGGAATTAGCAATGCTAAATTATCCTGTTTGATTTGTACTTAGTGCCTCGGTAAATGTGTATGGTCTGACTTTAACGTAGCTATTTCTGTGAGCAGTTACAAGCTAATCACTCAGCTATTTCAAGATTATATGGCCTTCCAAAGATACACAAAGAAGATACACCCCTTCGTCCCATCGTCTCTACTATCAGCTCCCCCACCTACAAACTGGCACGTTTTCTTGCTAATATACTGCGACCTTTCACTGGAAAAACCACCTCTGCGGTACTAAATTCTACTCACCTGGTATCGACTATCAAAGGCATTTCCCTGTCCCCAAACGACCTGCTTGTCAGTTTTGATGTGGTGTCCTTGTTCACCAAAGTCCCGGTACCTGACACCATCGCTATCATTGAAGACCTGGTTCATCAAGGACTGCATACTGATGTACCCCCCCTGGTGAGACATTGCTTAACCAACACATACTTCACCTGGAATGGAACTTTCTACAAACAAACTGAGGGCACCCCAATGGGCTCCCCCCTATCTCCGGTTGTAGCCAACGTATTCATGGAAAAATTTGAAACTGACGCCATCCAGACTGCCACTCTACGCCCGGCCTTATGGAAGAGGTACGTTGATGACACCTTTGTCATCTGGCCACATGGCCAGCCTGCTCTAGACCAATTCCGCGACCACATCAATTCCGTACACCCAGCCATCAGATTTACCATGGAGGTCGAAAAAGATGGCAAACTACCCTTTTTGGATGTCTTAATTAAAAGGAGACATGATGGTTCAATGAGCCACTCTGTCTACAGGAAAGCTACCTATACAGATGCTTACTTGAAACCGGATTCCCACCACCATCCATCCCTGAAGAACTCCCTCATCAAGACTCTATACCATAGAGCCCAATGCATTTCCGACCAGGAACACATTACCAGTGAACTAAAGCACGTACACCAGGCTCTCAGGGCTAATGGCTACTCCGACTACACAATCCGCAAAGCCATCACTCCAGTCATGAAGAAGGATCCTCTTGTGGAGCCACTCAAAACCATCACCTTACCCTACATTGCAGGGGTCACTAAAAAGATCTCCAAAAATCCTGAATAAACACAAGATCCAGGTCCGATTCAACACAGTACATAAAATCCGTGATTTAGTTCCATCTGTAAAAGATGCTGTTCCAGACATACAGTACCCGGGCGTTTACAAACTAAAGTGCCTCTGTGGTAGTAGCTACATTGGAGAAACCAAAAGACATATCTCGGACCGCATCCGCGAACATAAAGCAGACTTGAAACACGGTAGGACGAACTCCTCTGCCGTGGCAGATCACTGTTATAATTCAGTGGGCTCACATGACATTGACTTCTCCAAGACGGAGGTTCTTTGCAAACCAACCGGCTACCATGAGAGATTCGTTCATGAGGCCATTCACATATACAAGCACAGAGACAATTTCAACCGAGAAGATGGATTCTGGCTTAGTAACCACTGGAAAGATTTTGATTTAAAGCTTTCGTGACTGCAGTAATTCATATTCTTAGGTTTTTCGGTAAAGTCACGTTGAAGAGAAACAACAGAATAACAAAATATATATAAAACAATAAAAAATTCTCACGACGTTTCGACCATAACTCAAACGGTCATCATCAGGTGTGTCGGTTTGCATAAATGTATTTTAAAACGGCATATTTATTTATTTATTTTTAAAAAATAACGTTTGCGTCACGCGCAGCGATTGGCAGTTTGCCCAGGACTAGTCCATCTATTTTTTGAAAAGAGGAGTGGGGAGACGAAATTTGTTTTTATGTATGCTGTCTGAAAGCCACTGTAAGCATGAACAATCAATCAAGAACTGAAATTATTTATCAAATCTTTCCAATGATTGCTAAGATAGAATCCATCTTCTCGGTTGAAATTGTCTCTGTGCTTGTATACGTGGATAGCCTCATGAACGAATCTCTCATGGAAGCCAGATGGCTTACAAAGAACCTCCGTCTTGGAAAAGTCAATGGCATGTGAGCCTACTGAATTAGAACAATGATCTGCTACGGCCGAGGTGTTGGTCCTACCGTGTTTAAGGTCTGCTTTATGTTCACGAATGCGGTCCGAGATATGGCGTTTGGTTTCTCCAATGTAACTACTACCACAGAGGCAACTTAGTTTGTAGACACCAGGGTATTGTATGTCCGGAATAACATCTTTTACAGACGGAACCAGATCACGGATTTTATGTAATGTGTTGAAACGGACCTGGATCTTGTGTTTATTCAAGATTTTGGAGATCTTTTTTGTGATCCCAGCAATGTAGGGTAAAGTGATGGTTTTGAAAGGCTCCTCAAGAGGGTTCTTCTTCATGGTTTGAGTGATAGCTTTGCGGATTGTATAGTCGGAGTAACCATTAGCCCTAAGAGCTTGGTGTACGTGCTTGAGTTCACTGCTTATGTGTTCCTGGTCGGATATGCATTGGGCTCTATGATATAGAGTCTTGATGAGAGAATTCTTCTGTGATGGATGGTGGTGGGAATCCGGTTTCAGATAAGCATCCGTATGGGTAGCTTTCCTGTAGACAGAGTGGCTCATTGAACCATCAGGTCTCTTTTTAATTAGGACATCCAAAAAAGGTATCTTGCCATCTATTTCGACTTCCATGGTAAATCTGATGGCTGGGTGTATGGAATTGATGTGGTCGAAGAATTGGTCTAGAGCAGGCCGGCCATGTGGCCAGATGACAAAAGTGTCATCCACGTACCTCTTCCATAAGGTTGGGCGCAGAGTGGCAGTCTGGATGGCGTCAGTCTCAAATTTCTCCATGAAAATGTTAGCTATAACTGGAGAAAGGGGGGAGCCCATTGGGGTGCCCTCAGTTTGTTTGTAGAAAGTTCCATTCCAAGTGAAGTATGTATTGGTTAAACAGTGTCTCACCAGGGGGGGTACCTCAGTGTTTAGTCCTTGATGAACCAAGTCTTCAATGATTGCAATGGTGTCAGGTACAGGAACCTTGGTGAATAAGGAAACTACATCAAACTGACAAGCAGGTCGTCTGGGGACAGGGAAATACCCTTGATTGTTGATACCAGGTGAGTAGAATTTTGTACCGCAGAGGTGGTCTTTCCAGTGAAAGGACGCAGGATTTCAGACAAAAAACGAGCTAGTTTGTAGGTGGGGGAGCTGATAGTAGAGACTATGGGACGAAGAGGTGTATCAACTTTATGTATTTTTGGTAAGCCGTATAATCTTGGTGGCCTGGCAGCAGAAGGTTTCAACGAAAACTGTTTAGATTGATCAATTAATGCGGTTGAATCAGAAATTATTTTGTTGGTTTGTGTGACGAGGCTGTTGGTGGGATCTCTTTTTATTTTTGTATAACTACCATCGTCGAGTAATTCTTTAATTTTGTTGTTGTATTCTATTTTATCCATGATGACAGTAGCATTGCCTTTGTCAGCTGAGAGAACTACAATATCATTCCTCTTTTTTAATTTATATAATTCAAAACGCTCATCTTTGCTGAGGTTGCTAGCTGGTATCTTAGCGTTTTTGAGGGTTGCAGCGATTTCAGATCTTGCTACGTCTGCAGCGATGTGACCCAGGCCCCTGAGAGCAACGTCTACTTGGGCAATTATATCATTAACTGGTATGTGTTTAGGTGTGACTGCAAAGTTTAGACCTTTAGCTAAAACGGATTTCAGACCATCGGAAATAGAACTGTTACTGCGATTAATTACGACTTTATTAACGTCTACCTTTTTGGTGTGTGGGTCCGGTCTTTTGTTGAAGAGGAGGTTAAATTTGGAAATCAGGTTTTCCTTACATTTGGTCGACATAGTAGCAGCTGAAGAGGCAGTCATATTGTCTACATGTTCCCAATCCGATGTGGACATTATTGCCGTCAATGATAAGTGTGATTTGTAGAGTGTCTTGTCTAACTGATCTAGTTGTGTGCGTATAAGTCTGATTTTTTCTGAGATAAGAGCTAAGCTAGTTTTGAAAAGAATTCGTTTCGCATTAGAAGAAGTTACAGCAGCAGAGGTCAGTGCAAATGCGATTGGTATTACCCCAGAGTCGCGGCATCTCTTCAGGAAGGTGAGAGACTCGATCAGCTGAGCTTTCTTATCCCGGAGTTTGTTGAAGGATCTTAAAGTTATGTGAAAACCCTCCCCGTAGAGGCGATTAAATTTTGATTTAAAGCTTTCGTGACTGCAGTAATTCATATTCTTAGTTTTTTCGGTAAAGTCACGTTGAAGAGAAACAACAGAATAACAAAATATATATAAAACAATAAAAAATTCTCACGACGTTTCGACCATAACTCAAACGGTCATCATCAGGTGTGTCGGTTTGCATAAATGTATTTTAAAACGGCATATTTATTTATTTATTAAAAAAAAATAACGTTTGCGTCACG